TCCAGTGAACAGGGTTAGGTGAAATATTGGGAAAAGAAATTCCTCCCTGCGAGTGTGGAGAGGCCCTGGCACAGGTTCCCAGAGATGCTCTGGCCTCCCCATCCCTGGAGGTGTTCCAGGCCAGGCTGGATGGGGTTTGAAGCAGCCTGGGCTAGTGGAAGGTGTTCCTGCTTGCAAAGGGGTGAGATCAGGAAAAAACAACCACAAGTATTGAGGAGGAGGAGGATGAGCTCTGGTGAAGGGCTGCAAGGGGCACCCCAGCACCCCAACATCTTTTCTCCAATAACGTTTATTGCATCATCAGAGGCACTGTAAGTAAGAAATGTGGGCTCTGATGCAGATAACCTGCAGCAAGCCTGTCGTGGTTTGGCACTGGCCAAATGCCAGGCACCCATGAAAGCCGTTCAATCACCTTCTCCTGCTCTCAGCTGGGCAGAGGAGAGGGAAACAAAAATTAAGAAAGGGCTCATGAGTTGAGATGAGGACTGGGAGAAAATACGCTCTACGCAAACAAAAACGGTTCTAATTTTCTGGTATCCTGTAAATCATTATTGACAGATTTAGAAGATGGTAATGGGAAGTAAAATTAAACTTTAAATCACCTTTCTTTACCCCAGCCCTCCATCTTTCCCATTGACAGTTCAGGGAGACAGGGCATGGACGTCCTTCACCAGCATTGAAGCACTGCCAATAAAACACTATTTGCCTGGAAAAAACATGGGTTATCCCTTACACTAAGATAGACAGCATATTCTGATAGGAATTAAAACACCAATATCATAATATAATATATTGTTAGCATTTGGATAGTATCGGTAAAATATCTTGGACATTATAGTGTATAAAAATTCCGGATAATTGTTGTTTCTTTGAACCTGTCTATGGCAAATAAATTTCCGATATGTTCACAATTTGGACTGAAAATACTTCTTAGTCTAACACAGTTTTGCTGTTAGACTTGAACTTCTTGCTGCCTGAGGGGACACAGCCATGGTTTGTGCTCCCTGGGGCACCCATGATCCCCAGTGCCCAGAGCTGGGATGGTATGGAGACGATGGCCCAGGGGCTCAGCATTCCCCACCTCGAGTGCTCTGTGAGTATCACAGCATAGATCAGCCCGGAGATGTTTAATTTTCAGTTTTGTGAGCCAGGTGCAATTGTGTCTCTCCTTCAGAAATTCTTCCTCTCCAATGCCTTCAGCTGCTCCCTCAGCAGGCTCAGGTGGTGCAGCAGCAAGGAGAGGAAGAGGCCATGATCCTCAGCACAGCCACCCCCTTCCAGGAGCAGGGTGACACCTGTGTTTGTCACCGTGGGCTCCACGGGGCATCAACCCCCTCCCTGGGGCTTCCCTGAGGCCACCAGCCCCACCACACCCCACACCTTCTCTCCAGCCCCACCACATCCCATGCCTTCTCTCCAGCCCCACCACACCCCACACCTTCTCTCCAGCCCCACCACATCCCACACCTTCTCCACATCTTCCCAGCAGCTCCATCATGTCCCACCCCTCCCACACCACCCTCCCATCCCACTCCCCATGCAGCCCACCCACCTCCCGTCCTTCCCATCCCTCCCAGCCCCGGGCCTCAGGCTCCAGTCCCTCCCCACNCTCCCGGTGACCGCAGGGCCCTCCCAGCTCCTCTCTCTCCTCCTGTGCATTCCGTCTCTATCCTAATACTGAAATGGGCCAGAACAAGCTTTCTAACACAATGCAAAGCATGAGGAAGCAGGAATTCTCTACCTGCAAAGGACAGAGAGGGATCTCTCCTTGTGTTTTGTGTATGATGAGACTTTACAACTGGGCATTAATCCATTAGAACCACATGTAGGCATTAAAATTTTTTCTCTTCTAATGCAAAAACATGTTTTTCCTAGAACTCATTTCCATGCATCCACCTCCTCCAGGAAGTTGTTTTATGATCCTGGAGGTTCATTAAGAGCAGTCTCTCTAGTGGTCATATTCATTGAATGCTGCCATATTAAAGGTGCCCTTGCCTTGAACTTTTCTCCTGGCCATGATTCCTTTTCCAGAATTTGCCCCAAAATCACTGCAGGCCTCCTTATCTGTTTCTGCACTGGTTCCTGCCTGCCACGTTTGTCATTTTGTATGCCAGCCATGGCATCCTTTGAGAAACAACCGCGCAGTTTTTTAAATTTTTAAAGGTTTATTAAATGTTAACATAAATTGCAACGGGACATAATAACATAAGAAACAAAAGGACTCAATAATGAGAAGCACGCCTGGGAGCTTCCCTCATGGCTGCCCACCACGTGGCTGGCAGATCTTCAAGATGGATACTTTACCTTTGATACCACGGGGGTTGCATCAGCTAAACCTGGCCCCTCCCAAAGTCTGTCAGTCAGCCCTTCTTTGTGTTTATTGCTGGAGCCTGCTTTCCTGCAGCTTGACTGGAGGGTCAGGTGTTCTTGTGCTGCACCTCTTCCCCCCCCAGCAACAAGCTTTTGTACACCCCTTCTTTCTACCTGTCCTAGATGACTCAGGCTCTCTGATGGCAACAGTGCAGAGAGGAGAGAAGGGGACTATGGGGGGAAGAGGGGACATCTAAACAACCGACTGCAATAACATAATTATACATCAATCAAGCTTCTTTTAATATTCACACAGTATTCATCCCTTAACTGTGAGAGCCAATTATCTCATTATCCATCTATAACACATTGTTCTAAACTTTGGCCACTTTGCTTTTAAAGAACTCCAGAAGAACTGAAAATGTTCATTTTCTGTGTTATTTATCATCCTCCTGCCAAACAGCCCAACCCTCTAACCTCCCTCTCCCACTCCACAATTTCCACTGCCCTCCTCCCCTGCACATCTGTCACCTCCCCAGTCCTCCTCCTCCCATATCCTTCCCACTGCAGGGAGTTGCTGAGGAGCCACATGGTCCATCCCTAGATTTTCCAAGCACTGACTGCCCATCCACTCTGACCACAGCCAGGGCCACATCCCACTGCCTGCCCAGCATCCATTAATGGCGAGGAACCTTGTGTTCCCCCCCCGCCAACTAATCCACTGAAGGGCATGATCTGTGTGATGTCCCCAGCATGGCCACCCACAGTGTGACACTGCTCATCTGCCTCTGTGGGCTGGCTGGGAACGGGGCTGTGCTCTGGATCCTCGGGTTCCGCATCCAGAGGGACACCATGAAACCCATCACTGCCTACATCCTTGACCTGGCCATCATCAACTTCCTCTTCCTCATCTTCATGGCACCCTCCACTCTGCTCTTCCTGCTGGAGGATTTCTCCTGCTCCTCCATCATATCCCCAGCATCTATGCTCTTCCTTTTCCTCCTCTTCCCGATGTTCCACAGCATAGGGCTGTACCGGCTGACGGCCATCAGCATCGAGAGGGGCAGGTCCATGCTCTGCCCACCTGGGCTCTTCTGCCACCTTCCCCAGGACCTCTCATGGGTGGTGGTCAGTGCCATGCTCTGGGCCCATTCCATCACTGCCATCGCTGCCATTTCTGCGGTGAATTCCCTGTGCCAGTCACAGGAACACNAGCAGGACACGCAGAAGGATCTCTCCTTATTTCTGTGTGTGTTGTGAGACTTTAGAACTGTGTCCACTATTACCATACATGGATGTGGAATCCACAAAATCAGAGGCTTTTGGGAAATCTGCAAAAGGCAGGCCTCAGAGACAAAACTGTCATTAGAGCTAAGCAGCAGCAGTGAGATAGGCCAGCAGAAAAATTATTTAAAAAGTAGGAAAGCAAAGACCAATACAACAATAGTCTGTATTAATGCTTGTCTAGAATATTTCCCTAAGCTACAGAAAAGTTTATTTAGCAGCATATAAAGAAGTTTGAAGCTTAATAATAGAGCTCTGTGCATTGTGTTTTAAGGCTTACAAGTAGGTATTGTATTCTAAATAAGAAAGTATTGTTTTAACTAAAGGTACGTGTGCTTATAGTAGTTAGACAGAACTACTGTCAATATGCTTTTGCTTTGTGTGATATGTCAAGAAGCTTATAAACTAAGTTGTAACATTAGGTTCTTAGTCTGCTGCCTGGGATGTGAGCTGGTGGCATCTTCCCATTGTCATAACAATGTAATGAGACTGATGCTGAAAAAGAGAACAGCTCAAGGCACGTTTCACAGCAGTCCCGTCCCGTTTGTGATTTGTACATATACCCCTGGCCAGCGATACATAGACATTAAAAAGTTTTTCTTCTCTAAAGAACACCTTAAACATAAATGTAAATACCAATTTCCTCGAACTAATTTCCAAGCATCCACTTCCTACTGGGAGTCCTATCATGGCCCTGGAGGATCATTCAGAGGCGTCTCTGGTGGTCGCATTCACTGAGTGCTCTGATATTAAAGGTGACCTTGCCCTGAACTTTTCCTTTGGCCATGTGCTCTTGCTTCTTCTTACAGAACTTTTGCCAGAAATAATGTGGACCTCCTTATTTTTGTCTGCGCTGGCTTCAGGCACGTTTATCACACAGGGTCCACACTTTCACATATTTTTATCTATTTGCCCAGTTAGTCTTTAAGCAACTTCAAGAGAGTTGAAAATGTTTATTCTCTCTTCTTTATCAATACCCTGCACACCAGCCCACCCCATCTCCTCCCTCTCCCACCCCACTATTCCCACTGCCCTCCTCCCCTGCACATCTCACTCCTCCCCACTGAATCCCTCCCACTGCAGGGAGCTGCTAAGGAGCCACATGGTCCATCCCTGCATTCTCCAAGCACTGACTGCCCATCCACTCTGACCACAGCCAGGGCCACAACCCACTGCCTGCCCAGCATCCATCCATGGAGGTGAGCACCATGTCCCCACGTCCTGCTTCACCCACTGAAGGAGACGATGGCTGTGTTATCGATGTCACCGATGTGGCCATACACAGTGTGGCACTACTCATCTGCCTCTGTGGGCTGGCTGGGAACGGGGCTGTCATTGGCCTCCTCAGCCTGAAAAGAAGGAATGCTGGCTTCTTTGACCTGGCTGTCATTGACTTCCTCTTCCTCCTCTTTGCAGTCCCCTCTGCCCTCCTCATCCTGATGGAGGACGTTTCCTGCTCTGCTATCGTGCCCTTGATGTACATGAAATTTGTTTTTCAGCTGTCATTGGTCTCCTACTACTGGGTGCTCTTCAGGCTGATGAGCAGCATCCCTGTGTGGTATATGCACAACGTGTGCAAGCTCTGCTGCCACTGTGACCTTCCTCTGCGCCTGATGTGGGTGGTGGACACTATCCCATACTGGGCCATCTTGGCTCTCTTCACTGTCACTCCCACAGTGACATTCTTTTGCCCATCCCACGAGCAGGAGCACTGCCAGGCAGCTCTCATCTCCATGTACACCCTCATCCTGCTCCTCTTTGCTGCACCCGTGGTCATTTCTGGCACAATCTATTTCATTAATTCCAAGCGAGGCTCCCAACAGCAGCAACCCAAGAGGCGCGACATCATTATCATCATCACTGTGCTGCTCACTCTCATCATCAGCCTCTGCAACTTCCTGCAGCAGCTTGGTTACATCACTGTGTCCTCACAGGTTGTTTTCCTGCTCACCTGCATCCACAACAGCATCAAACCCTTCATCTACTTCTTGGCAGGGAGGTGCTGGAGGCCCTTCTCCATAAAGTCCCTGGGGCTCTACCTCCAGAGGGTCTTTGAGGAGGCAGAAGAAAACACTGCCCACAGCAATGATCCTACAATGGACACAGTGGTCTGAGCCTGTTGATCCCTTCCACAGCTCTCCTGAAGGACCCCAGGTGGCCCCAAGGAGGCTGAGGGTTTCCTTGAGACTCCTGAGGAATAGAAATCCACTGGATCACCCTCCCTGTGGTGGTGTATTCCTGCAGGAGAAGGGAGCAGGAGCATTGCCTTGGATGATTTTTTGGGATCCTCTGCAGGGAGCACATTGCAGCATGGCTTTCCTCCTCCCTCCTGGATCCACATGGCTCCAAGCAGTGCAGCTGGGCTCAGTGATGTTCCACAGCTCTATTCCCCATGGAATGACCCTCATGGTCTCAGCCCCAGAAAATGAACTCCATCTCCTTTGGCTCAGCAGATGAGTTCTCATGGTGTTTCCAGGGAGCTCTTGCCTGCAAAGAATGGGACACCTTAATCCCTGGGGACACACCCAGCACAGGGTGGCAGTGATTTCCCAAATCCCTGCAGGGCTGGTGCCTCTGGATGGCAGGAGAGGGGTTGGGATCACAGGGAGCATCCTTCCCCTTCTGTCCAGCAGAGCCGGCCCTGCATTCCCAGCTGATGGGAAGGGACATCAGGTAGGGCTGCAGAGCTGGGGAGGGACAGCAACATTCCCTTATCCTTTCAGTGGGAATTTGTCACATTCTTCAATTCCAGAATTGAATCCTTCTGAGGAAAGTGCAGGGTCGATGGTGAACTCCACTGAACTCCTGTGCCTGTATCCAGAAGGTACATGGAATATGGAAATTTCCATCACCAGATGCTTGGACCATTGAATTGCACAGAGATTATGGGGTTGTGCTGCTCTTCTGCAGAATGGGGCCATCCATCCTCTGGTTCCCCAGCATCAGTGTCCAGGGAAGCCCTTGAGCACCTCCATCCTGAACCTGGCCACCCTCAGGAGGAGCTGCACAGCCACTCTGCACAGCAGCTCCAGCCACAGTCCAGCCTNCAGCAGCAGCAGCAGCAGCAGCGGGACAGGCACTTTGGTCCACTTGCTTCCCAGTGACAGAGGGTGGGGTCAGACTGGTTATTGGGAAGAAATCCTTCCCTGTGAGGGCTCTGAGTCCGTGGCACAGGTTGCCCAGAGGGATGGTGTCAGGTAAAAACAAACACAAATGCCCCCATGTCTGAGGAGGAGGAGGGTGAGCACTAATGAAGGGCTAGAAAGGGGATCACAGCACCCTGGTCCCTGGTAGTGTTCATTGCATCATCAAGGGGGTTGGCAGTAATCAGGGTGGTCTCTAAGTCCTGCTGACCTGGCTGCAAGCAACTGAGTGCTGTCCATCCATTGGGCTGTGGAACCTGCATTGGAATGACAAAAATGGAAATTCCCAGCTCAGTTTGCTTTCTTGGGGCCAGGGAACGTTTTGGCAATGATCTTAAAAACCAACCCAGAATGGGAGTTGTTTGTGAGAAGCACCCAGATGCTTGCACAGTGCTGTGAGCACTTCCAGCACTGCCAGCAGCATTCCAGTGCCACCAGCCCCACCAGCAGCTCTCTGCTCCTGGAGGGACAAGGACCCCTCAGGGTAGATAAATGAGGAATGGTAGAAACCTGCTGAGAGAGGGAAAGCATTTGGAGAATGTCCCATTTGGAAAAGAGATTCTAATCAGGAAGAAATGAGGAGCCATTCAAAGAAATCTGCATGTCGAGTTACTTCCTGTATGGCAGGTAAAAGTTCAAGACAAATAACTGACAGGAAGGAAAATTCTGACATAACCAAAGATTTAATTTCTGACTTTCCCGACGAGTCTTGCGAAATACCAGCAGCACAGGGAACGGAGCGGAGCCAGCAGGATGGGATTGGGAACTCCTGGTGAGCTGGGCACTTTCTTCTTCATGTCCCTGACCTGGCAGGAGCCGCTTTAGGACATGGATCCCAAAGGAGCAAGAGGGACCAGGAAGNCTCTGCACAGCAGCTCCAGCCACAGTCCAGCCTCTCCTGATCTTTGTCATTCTGTAACCACCCCTCTATCAGATTTGCATTCATGGTTTTTGTTTCTTTCTACTGTGGTCATCCCAGCCCCAGAATTTGTTGAAAAAACGACATCCAGGCTTCACTGCAGAGCCTTTCTCTGTTAAACAGTGTCCAAAGTTACTAATTTCCTTCTTTTATCCCACTCTAAAGCCTCTGGCTCTTCTGGGAGCAGGGCAGGTTCCTGTCTCATACCAGAGCCCTTCCTAAGGCACGTGCCTGCAATGGCTGGGATGATGTTGGCAGTGCCAAGAGCTCCTGATTCCTGCTGGGAGAGACCTGGGCAGCAGCCACATCTCTTGCTCAGGGGGAAGTTGTCCCTCCTTTTCCCACTGCCTTAAGTCCAGGGGAAACCCACGTGCCACTGCTTCTGGAAAGGGAAGTGAGAGTGAAAGCCGTGGGTGGTGAGTCAGGCTTTGGAGACACACCTGATGTTAAACACCTACGGAGCATTTATTAACAGAGTTGTTAATAATTAATAGAAGAGACTTTGACATCTGAGAGATTTTTCTATCCCCGAATCCTGTTTTCCTGCCCCGGAAACAGGATTTTGGACACCAGAAACTTTCCATGGTGCAACCTCTTGTCCATGGATGAAGAACTCAGCCAGGGTGTTTCTCCCAGGTCAAGTGCAGAAGGACCATTATCCTCCATTGTATATTTTCTGCTTCCCAGCACCTTCCTTGTGTCCAGTGTGATCCAAGCCACTCCCTTCCTGAGCTTCCTTTCAAATCAGCAAGACTTCAAAGCAAAAGGTTTCCTGGCTGTCCCTGCCATGTGACAGAAGAAGAAGAGATGGAATGAGATGATCTCTACTGTTCCTTGCATCATTTCCTGGATGTATTTATGAGCTTAATTCTGTTGCCATTCATCTGTTTAGCCCAGAAATAGGTTTTGCGCATCTCAGACTGGTTCTTGAGCAAAGAGGGGCAGAGCAGATGCAGCAGTTTGTTTTCAGAAGCCGCGCTCACTCCTCCCCATTCCTGCTCCCAGACTGTGCTGTCTGCAGCACAGACATGAAGCACAGAGCTCTCCTTTGCTTTTAGGTTTTTCAGCTGGCTGAAACAGAGAAATTCCCTGGACTGTGGTTTTCCTTTTGCTTGTAACTGTTCAAACCTGCTCTGGACTGAAAACCCAGAAGAGCACTGGGAGCTCACACCTGTGGCCCACCTGGCCCTGGAACGTGGCATTTTCCAGCACCAGAGGGACTGATAAGGGACTGAGTGAGGCAAACTGCACTCCACCACAAGGACTGTCTGAATTTGCCAACTCTTCAGAACAGCAAGAGATTTTATCCTTTAATACTGTTTTCATTTGTTATGGTTGTGAATACTTTCCTTGTTAAATAAACAGTTATTTCCACTTTTCTCTTAGCAAATCTTTTCCTGAACCAGCTGGGAGGGAGGGGGTGCTTGAATTTATTTTCTAGAGGGATCCCATTGGAAGGTTTCCTCCCAAATTCACCCTAAACCAGGACACAACCCAAACCATTCCATGAGGATTCCTCGTGTCACCCACTAATGCCTCAGGCAGGAGTTCCCCTGCTGCACACAGCACCAGCCTGACAGAGCTCAAGGAGCATTTGAACAATGCTCTCAGGCACAGGCTGGGATTGTTGGGATGTCCCATTCAGTCCCAGAAGCTCAACTGCATCATCTTTGTAGGTCCCTTCCCGCTCTGGATATTTTATGGTTCTGGATTGTGGTGCCTCTCTTTCATGATGATTCCACTTGATGATGGTTCCACTGTGTTGTCCCTATGCCCTGGCTCAGGCACAAAAGCCACAAAAGCCCTCTGCAAGGCAGCACTACCAGAGGGGGCGAATTCCTTTGCACAGCTCCCAGCCAGGGAGTCAGTCAGAGGGAGGGCACTGCTCTGGGCACAGGTGAGCAGGAGAGGGGGGCTGGGGGCAAAGACAGAGAAGTCAAACGCCCTCAGCAAGAGCCAGTGCCCAAAATCAGCAGTGAGGAAGGGAAAGGAGATGACAGGAGCAGCAGGAGCAGGGCACAGAGCTTCCCTGGCAGCTGTTTCCATGAGCAGCACAGGAGCCTGGCCAGCAGGGCCAGAGCA